AGAGAGAGAGAGAGAGAGAGAGAGAGAGAGAGAGAGAGAGAGAATGACAGCTTACCTAAAACATCAGATTATTTCCGACTACCAACTTTTAAATGCAGAAATTTGTTTTAAATTATGCAGTTTCCTTTCATGTGAATTGGTAACAATGGGACTACTATCTGTTGGCACAATTGCTATTTTACATACAATGTGAGGTTTCCTTTATGATCGAACAGTAGAGTTGATAACATTTTCACTGTAAGCGGTAACGTTTCACAATTTTCAACTTCTATGTTGCACCGCTTTGTCACCAGTCAAATCCCATCAGCATCATCTACCTGTTTTTGAACTTTAATTCGTAACTCACCCGAGTGAAGTCAAAATCCTTGATGATGGGGTACTTGGGGCAAACACCGGCCTGGGACGCGCCGACGAGGGCTAAAAGTATCAAAAGCGCAGCTCGCATCTTGGCAACAAGAGCTTCGCAAGTAATAACAATGCTTGCGAGTGTACAGGCAGCTCCTCCCCCGCCTGTATTTGAAGACTGACTAACCAGCAAGGGCGGCTCGGAGGGTCAGACATTATGTTCGCTAGGCCCCGCCTCCGGAGAAAAAGTGTGGCCATACCTGTTGCGTATTGTGCTTATTGTAATAACACCATTTATTCGTTGTGTTTGTAGGGATTCGGTCATTAAATCATGACTGACGTGTCTCCAGATAGTTCTTTATCAACAGGGTACAGAAAAACGGGCCTGGGATTCCATTAAAACGGAAGATTTCCAGAAAGCATCTGGCTACGCTGGGAGAAACGAGACCGCCGAGGCGTGCTCCCGCGCTCGCCTTCGCGGCCTCTTGGTTGCCTTTCTAATCGTGCCTTTGGTGGGCTCTGGACGCCAAAAACTCCATCGTCTAACGCTCAGAATTACTTAATGTAAATCAAATGACTTCATGTAAAGAGAAGCTAGTTTTCTAATTGGTTACAAACGGATTTTTGCGGATATTGTCTCGCTTTCTAGTCGCACTTTCACTCTGTGACGTTGAAAGTACCCGAAGCAATTAAAAAGTAGGATAAAGAAATTCGAAGCTTCGAGCAAGATATTTTGTTTATATCATTTTCTGCGCCAGTTGTTGAGATGTCATTAATCAAATTTGTCTGTGCGATATGTATTAGTATATTCCCTAAACTAATAGTAGGTTTCAGTACATTGTAATGTTGCATGAAGCCGTAATATGAACATTTTTGACTTATGGTATTGTACCATAGTTACTGAAAAAATGAATAGCATTAGCAAAAGCGGTTCATCAAACCAGTTTCAGGCTTTGTCACATTTATTTTTCCTTGATTTCTCGCATGCTGCACAGATATACCAACTACGCGGCATTTCTTTATATACATACATACATATATATATATATTATATATATATATATATACATATACATATATATATATACATGTATATATTATTATATATATATAATTATTATATATATATATATATATATATACATATATATATTTGTGTGTGTGTCGTGGTATGTGTGTTATGTACAACACACACCACACACACACACACACACAACACACACACACACACACACACACACACGCACACACACACACACACACGCACACACACACACACACACACACACATATGTATATATATATACATATATATACATATATATTATGTATATATATGTATGTATGTATGTATATATATGTAATATAATATATATATATATATGTATATATATATGTATATATATGTGTGTATATATATATGTATATATATGTATATATCTGTGTGTATATATATACATACATACATACATACATACATATATATATACATATATATATTATATATATATACATACTCATATATATATATATTATATTATATAATATATATATATATATTATATATATATATAACAATATCTTCGCATGGAGTGAAACTAATGTTTTTTTTTCAACCAAAGTATCCCGGACGAAGAAAACGAATTACTTTTCCATTTCCCTTAATCAATGATCACTCAGATCGCGCGCGACGACCACTCTCCTTGGGTGTGAAGCTCTATTAAATTGAGAGGAATTCTTCCGCCGCCTCCATGGGATCCAACCGCACTCGATTCGTCAAAAGAAACAATGTCTCAGTGTAAATTCTATCAATCGTGTTTTGTTAATTTCTCATAAAATGTAATTCAGTCTCAAGTTGAAGGAAAGTATTTTGTTTATATACAAACATTCTGCGTGTATGTTTGCCGTATAAAAAAAGTATTGACGCATTTAAATGTATCTAATCTCATGTCAAATAAGAGCTAGAAAAACAACAACAGTGGCGACAGATCAGTGGGAAACATGGTGTTAAGGTGGGAGGAGAGATCCTAAGCTTTCACATCTCACACCTCTCACACATCAGATCTAAATAGATGTGCTGTGTGTGTCCGTCTGTCAGTCAGTCTCCTCGGTACATATAGTTCGGGAAGCGGAAAAAATATAGACTTTTTGCAGGTCGTCGGATATTTAAGAATATCATATATAATATATAATATATAATATATAAGAATATCTAAGAAGATTTTGATAGGATCGTAGATTTAGTCGAACGGTTCTCGAGGTAGAGTGAGAGTAAGAGGGAGGAGGGAGGGAGGGAGGGAGGGAGGGAGGGAGGGAGGGAGGGAGGAGGGAGGGAGAGAGAGAGAGAGAGAGAGAGAGAGAGAAGAGAGAGAGAGAGAGAGAGAGAGAGAGAGAGAGAGAGAGAGGAGAGAGAGAGAGAGAGTACTAGCCTTCTCTCCGCTTTTTTTAACTATATATATTTTCCAAGAATTTCGTTAATTCTTTTATTTTTTGTCTTTCGTTTCGGAAAATTTGACTTTAAACGTTTTAATTTCTCATTCTTTCTTTTGATTCAGGTATTTACTCCATATTTGTGTTATTTTCATCTATATTATTACGTACCATTTTTTCTGCTAATTACTCTGTCATTCTTTATTCATTTATTTCATATTTTTTCCCCTGTCAAAGATCCATCGTTCCGATAATCAATGGACAGATGGAAAATTATATCACAGCTGAAATACCTAATTTACCATTAGTAGTCCCTTGATAGTTAAAAAAATAAGTCATTCTCTGTCTTTATGTGCACTTTATTTTGCATTTTGTTATAGATATTAGAAAACATTCTATTGCGGTCTCCATCTGATACTAAAAGGCTGGTAATATCAGCAAGAGAACACGACCCATATTTTGTTGTCTTTCATGTGACATATGACTTTTTTTTTACATTTACATATTTATTTTGGTTGCATTTAACACTACGGTAAACTCGCGTGACTATTCCTAATTCTGAATAGCCTCATGTTTAGTATATATGAATTAAACTTGGCTTGCGAGATACGAAGCATGTCAAAGAGGACAGATTTGCCATTATTGGGTCTATGGCGCGATAGGCCTACTACAAATGAAAAAAGTGTTCAT